ATGGAAAATAATCCACACAAGCTTTTCCCTTCAGCCTCGTGTAGAGCATTAACTACCATCCCCATGCAGAGAATCTAGGCTATGGCTGTCAAAGACACTTGAGCACCTTTTCTAGCTTTGTGATTCTTCTTGGCTTTTTCAGAACAGGAATAGCAGTAGCATGTGATGTTTTGGCTCACTGAGAAGGAGAGGGGTTTTTAATTAGAGGCCATTTTCTGGCCTCTAATTCATACACAAAATATGTAGCTGAATGTTGTGTGAGGGTGGGGTTGAAGGATGCTGAGATATAAAGCTGCTCAGGGACAAAGGGCTATTAGAAAAACTAGGTGATTTTAGAATAAAATAATTTCCTTTTGTTAGTGTTTTTAGGAATTCTTTGATCAAAATGTCAAATCATGGCTGCTAGCAACAAGGACATTCATGTGCTTGAGTGAAATAAGTAACATTCTGACTTGAGTGGATTTCATCCTCACAAAGTGGCAGTGATGGGAGGGAAGAAATTACAAATAAGTCATGACGAGAGGGGAGGTAACACATAGGACAGGTCTTCATTGTTCATTACTTCTTGAACATGGTGCAGGATTCAGATGTATAAGTAGGAACATAACTTTCCCATAATCAAACCTATGAGAGGAAACAATGCCAAAGATTCATATAAGGATATAGTTTTGTAGGATAAAGGGCAGCCTAGAAAATGGGATTGAAAAATCTGAAGTCAACCATAAACATCCTTTACTGTAGAGGTACTTTATTCTCTCAACTAGAATGTGTGACATAAGTTGTCTTAGCTTGTTGAATTTAAGAAAAACACCCAAATTTTTAAGACCTTAAAAAAATAATAGTAAGTTGTTTTTATTTTGCCACATAAATTTGCAGTGTTTTTATCTTGAAATTGAGTAGCAGAATTAGGAATGTCAAAATTAATGAGCAGATGACGCTGATGTGGTAAAACAACAAACTTTAAAATTTAAGAATACTCCTGGGATTGTTCTAAAATAGTCCTTTCTATTAGCACAGAGAGCTAATGGGGTTGTAATTGGTTTCCTTTAATACACACATGTTAAGTTAGCAGCCCATTTTGCATTATCTTGTCTTCTCCCACTACAACCAGATGTGCAGCTTTCCTAGAACTGCACTCATGGGATTGCTCAGCAGAAGCCTCAAGCTTGGTTCCCAGCAGGTGCTGATCTCAACACCTTGTTGTTAAGGACAAGTAGTTGTGTGGTAAAATAAAGAGGCACCTTGAAGTAGCAGCACCATCTCAATTAAGCATCCAGTTGGGAGGTCTCTGGCAGCAGGAAGAGAACCTTAAAGAATTAGTGCCATAATTCCTTATAATCAGTACAGAGAAAGTAACTTCCAACAGTTTTCCAGGTCTCTGAGTCTAGAGATGACATGTAACAAACAGGCACTGATCTTGATGTCCTAAGGACCTGTATTTAAGTGAACTTCTATTCACAGTTCTCCCTGTGTGTTTGACACCAATGATTCTCCAGCTTAGGGTGTTTAAAAGCTGAAGCACAAACCAAAGCCCCTGACCTCCAACACCAAATAAACTTGGAGAATTGAGACCAAGTTTAGATTTCCTCTCAAAAATACGTTTAACATATGAGCAGTATTTATATAGGCTGGGCAAATGCAATGTGCCTTTTGAAATTTTACAAGACTATAATAATAATTAAAAATATTTCAGTGTATCTCAAGATTTTTTTTAATTTAAGCATTCTTATTTTGTAATGTATAATTCCAGTGTCTATTTTTTTTCTAGCATGAGTTATATAGATTTGAGGTCTGTTGTGGCTGTAAAATTAGTCTACTTGTTATGTTAGCCTTTAATACTGTATTCCCACCTACAACTGCAGTAACACAGCTTGAAGGGAATTTAATTAGGAAAATGAGGCAGATGAAATAGGCAATGTAATGTATATCTGCAATATGAAGAAGAGTAAATACACTTTTCATCTGAATAGTCAGAATAGAAGCTGTGTTAAACTGGGCTGAAATTTAATCAGAAATGGCTTTCTTTTATTTTCTAACATTACTATGTAATTGTGCTCCTTATTACTGGGGATTAGAAAGACTACTATCATTAAAGAAGAAACATCTTTCACCAATTATATTTAGTTTCTGGTTTATCTGGCACTAACCTTCTCTTTATGCAAAAAGTGGAGATCCCTGGAGGAACAGACGTAGTGCAGCGATTGCAATCCCCTGGGAAACCTTGAGCACACCGTGTGCTGGGTGGATTCTTGCTTGTTTACAGGCCATCCAAGCAATGAGCAGGTGGAATTCACAGGACTAAAAACTTTCCTGCCTCGCTGCGCTCTGGAATATTCCAGCCTTGCTGCACAGTCATGGATTTTCCAGTCGTAGCCATCCCTTATTTCCCCGAGGTGTTCGGCAGCGGTTGTGTCGGGGCCGAGCGCAGACGATCGCGCTTTACAGAGAAACACAGGGCGTCACCGGGGCAGGAAACAGCTTAAGTAATATAGAATAGATCTTAAATAATTGTTTAAGGAAAAAAATTCCCACAGTCCCTTCTCGGAATTGGGGAGAGTAGCACTGGGAAGTCTGCAGCATTACACAGCACAGCCAGTGCAAGTGACACATTGGCTTGAAACACCTGCTGTATTTCTTTAGTCTGAATTAAGAGATAGAAATATGTTATGCAGGTACATTATTGTGTAGTAAGAAAATAGAAATGGTTTTAACATGTGCATTAATTCTATGTATGAGATTTTAAAATGTTTATTAGTTCTAGATCAACCCACTTGGGCTGTAACGTGATTCTTCAAACTGTTGCTTAGAGAGCTATGAGATTAGTGCTTTTACTTTACTGCTTTTTATAACTTTTTTAAACAAGATTGGCTGTGAAATAAGTGAAGATGCAGGTGGTAGGTGTATGATGAGTACATGGTTTAGGCAACCTGATGTCACCAACCTTATTTTGCTACTGTTCGTTGTTTTTTGCCTATGGCAGCAAAAAGCCAAAGGACTTCTCCTGGTGATTACCAAAATCTCAAGTTCTCTCCCTCCTTAAGTCAAATTTCAAAGCATCAGATTTTAAATTCAACCTCTCTTAAAGCCTTGTTCTGTGTTTAAGTCTGTTCCATGCCTCTGGACATTGTTTTTATTTATCAGTGTTTTGGAAGACGGAATAAGAAATGATTGGTAATACTCTTATTTCTGTCCATAGCATTGCCAGATGCAAGGGCAGGTGTGGTGGTACATTTGATTTTCCAGCTACTGGAGACACCAGCTTAGTTTCATCACTGGATGGTAGTCCAGGCTATGGAATGTGTTTTGCTCCTTTATCAGAAACATTGCCTTCATTGCAAAAAGAACCATGTCTTTTTTTTGTATCAGGTAAAAACATTCTTGAATGTTTTAATTGGAATGAAAATCCCCCGCGGGGGGTTGCTGATGGGCTGCTTAAGAGAAATGAGGAAGATTGATTGAAGGTCCTAATAGTTATTTTTCTCAAGCATCAGCACAAGATAGCAGGTGTTTCCTCTGCTAAGCAATTCTTTTAGTTGCTAAAGAGACTTGATTTTTGTATGTTGTCAGGTTTCAGGTTTAATATATGCTAAGGGACACATCTCAGACACTTAATCTTCTGTTGACTTTATGGGGAAAAAAACTGTAGAACTTTTTCAGATCTTTGAAACAGGTGTAGTTAAAATCTCCACTTTTCCGTGGTCTGCTCAAGCATTTCCTTTAATCTGTGATTTTCAAAAATAAAACAAGACATGGTGCCCCTTAGAGAATGTTTATTACTTGGAAATGTAGTCATCTGATTTGTTACTGTGTCTTATACTAAGATTTATACATGTTTTTCTGGTGTAAAGCCTGACTAGATGCATCTGCTATCCTTAATTTAATTTAGTTAAATTCTTCTGTGGAATCAGTTAGCTACAAATTCAGAAGTTCCTTTCTAAGAACAGATATTTCTCAAAGACACTTTCAAAGTGTGTGCACTTAGAAGGGTTGTTATGTGTACTTCTTCATGGGAGCAGATAAGGGAGCGGGATGTTAAATTAGAATAAATCTCAGCTTAAGAACCAGGTTTGGGTTTTACTGAACACAGCAAGCTTCAAGAAAAGAGCTGCTACAAAAGACCCTCTGTGACTCTCACAGTGGATTTCCCATCTGGAGCAACATATAAAACTGAATTTCCTGCTTAGTCACTTGGTTCAAGCAGGGCAATGTTAGTGTAATGCTTCCGATGTGTCTGAAGTATTGTCACAGGAAATTCATCATTACTTCATATTTTACCCTGCAGTACCATGGATATTTCTGACTGCATTAAATACTTTAAATACTCTAGGGCTTAAAGACCTAAAATAGAAACTGTTAGGATTGTGCCTTAGCTATTTAAGAGGGATTTTCATTCTCATCAGGAGGAGAAAAAATTTTAGTGAATGAATATGGAATTCTTTGAGCTTCTGTAAGAGAAAATGTGATCATCTTCACATTCCAGTTGCTCAAGCTAGAATGTGTGGATGGAAAATGAATAAATACACTTTGCTTAGGTTGCTGGTGTTTCTTCAGTTGAGGTATTTAGTGGAGAGATTGATTTAGAAAATGTGGTCTATTTGGTAAGTCCTGTGTGCATTGATTTGCATTGTGGCAAAAAGCTTGTGAAATCCTATTTGTGCTTTTCCTAGAACATATGATCCAGAGGTACACAATGCAGGACAAGTGAAAACAGGAGGGAGTAATTACGTCTTCTGTTTAGAATTTTGTAGTCCTGCCAAGAGGGTGAGAAAAGGGTTTAAGAAATTATATGTAAAATTTTTGCTTTGGATGGAAGCCTTTTCCAACACCCCTTCAAAGAAGCGATACTTTTAGGAAAACCCTAACAACAGGACATCCAGTGCCTTGATGAGCCCAGGAGGCCCTTTCTGTTGGAAGCTGCCTGGACAATTTGTTTGTCCTATTGCTGTTGTTTGGAAAGGCAGAGTCAGTCCCTTCATTATCTCCACCCTCGTGTCTTTCAGACCCTGAAGGTTGATGTCCGTCATGCTGAGGTTCGGGCAGCACCTCATCAAGCCCTCCGTGGTCTTCTTGAAGACTGAGCTCTCCTTTGCTCTCGTGAACCGCAGGCCGGTGGTCCCGGGGCGTATCCTTTGGATGGCCGTGCTCTTGGGAAAAGCAGGAGGAAGGCAGAGTGCTTGGAAGGCCAGGTAGGATGCGACAGGGTTCCTTCTGAAACCAGGCGGTGGAACGTGAGCTCCTTGATCAGTGTTGCGGAGCTGCCGAAAACAGTTGCTAAGCAACTGTGACCTTCGAGGTGAATTTCTATTGACCTTTTCGCCACAGAAGATGTATAAACAACCAGGTGCTACTGAAGGCGTTTTAAAGTGTATCTGAGGTGGTACTGTTTAAATTTCATATTATGCTAAATAACACATCCCGCTTCCCTTTTAATAATGTCACTTATTTTCAGATGGGGTAACTTTTTCATGGAGAATTTTCAGCTTCTCCTGGCTAAATGCACACCATTTGTCAAGTGGCAGTAGGATCCTTTATGAAGACTTTTTTTTTTTTTTTTTGAGGGGGGACAGATTGCTTTGATTAATTTAGGTAGGAATGAATTAAATAAACCATCTGTATAGTGCACACGTTTCATGATGAAAAAGTGAAGCCCCACGTTGTAAGTAAAATTCTCAAGTTAGAAACTTTATAGGAACTTGATGCTAAATGAGCCTATTTAGGGTATTCTGTAGTGTGGTGTTTTATTTTCCAGTCAGAACTCTACTGCTCCAAAATTTGTGCTACTTTCATTGGCTGGAGGTGCAGTTTTTCAGAAATAACCAAGATGGATCACTTTTCCTATAGAGGTTCATGGTAAAGTTTTAGTAGGAACTCAGGCAATGACTGAATGTGTTTCAGGAAAAGAAGAAAGTTGTCTGGAGTTTATTGAAAGTTTTCTTTTTGTTCTGTAGCTTTATGTTGTTTCTTTCATAATTTAACGTATAGTTTAGAGTTTAGTAAACTTGAATATATTTTTTAAAGTCACAAATGTATTTCTTCTGAAATGGAACCTTCTTCTCCTCCTATCACTTCTGTAGATTATAGTTGTTCAATATTGAACTTTTCTCTCCACCTGCTTTAAATGGTGTTTGTGTGTACCAGAAGTCAGATTTTTTGGTTATAAATGCATGGCAAAGATGCACAGACTTCATAGAAACATTAGAGGTGTTACTGTCTCACCAGTGTATTTTAATGAATTCAATTAACAGTATTTCTGAACTTCAAGTTTCTGAAATACTTGGCATAAATCAATGTGATTTACAGATTTGTCATAATAAATCTTTGTCATTTTCAAAGCTGTCTCAAGACAATATCACATCAGTCACTGTGTGATGCAGAGCCTGGAAATGCCTGGGCAGTATGTTGGTTTATGCATTGTCTGGATCAGAGAGTAAATAAAATGTTTCCTTTGCTTCACGTGGAGGTTTTAAAAATAATATGAACACTTGTTTTTGAATTAATCAGTTAAGTGAGCAATTGCATCTGTTGTTAAAAATAGAGTATTTCAGATGAAGGATACTTGTTTTAAAGTTTTGTGAGCACCTAGTAATGACAATTTAAGGAGCCTATAAAACTTAATTATTATAAGCTTCTCTCCTTCTTAAATAATTAAAGATTATAAACTCTAGTTGTATAGTTATTGCTGACTTTTGGCAGATACATTTATTTGCTCAGGGTTTAGCTTTGTTATCCCATAATGAGTATTGCAGCGTATTTTATAGTGTCACATTGTTTTAATAGCTTATGTGTTGTAATATATAATGTAGTCTTTGTTTCTCCATTGAATAAATGTTCAGGTAATAAAAACCCAACCCTTTTCCTTTCTCATTACAATATGAAAAAATTAGAGATCTTGATACAAAGACTAGAATACAGTATGTAAAATAGAGCAATTTGCAGTTTTAAGCCTTTAAAATGTCTGTATAATGCAGCATTCATCTTCAGACCTGGCAATAACAAGTGTATTTTCTTTGTTTTATTGCAATAATTTTATCTACCTTGTCTTTGGCACACATATGACATTCTTTTTCTCTTTTTTTTTTTTTAGTAGAAAATAAAATATTAATGTATGTGAATTAGAGAGACAAAGGAAATCAGTTGGAAAGCCAGCTCACTCCAGGTGGTGGCTTTAATTAACTAGTAAGGTTGAAATTCCATCTTGAAACAGAACATAGGATTGGAGCTGTGAATTGGCTGTGATAGTTTTAAAATAAAAATTCAGTCAGAAGGGTCTTGTGGAGTTCGGTGTCTGTGATTTGAGCAGGCTGGTTCAGTTAACACATTGCAAAGTTTGGTGTTATTTCCAGCTGCCAGTCCTGTGAATTTAGATTGACACTTCAGAGGCAAACTGTGCTAATAGAAACCAAAAGTAGGTAGAGTAAGAACACAGTATTTATGGTAAGGGAAGAGTTCTCCTGTTCCTGGACAGAGCTGCCTCATTTGGCCCCACGTTAGACCTGATGGGTGCACACGAGTTCATGGACTCAGGACCCTGTTTGTGTTGGGATCTCTTTCAGTGATTATTGCAGATTCTTGAATAGAAAGGAATTGGGATCTTAAGTAAGGAACTGGGATATCTTACGATATCCCTTGAGTAAGGGGATGTCTCACATTACATTCAGTGTGTAGGCTACAATATGGGCGTGTGCTTGACAGGAGGAAACTTATTCACCCCTTTTGTCTCAACCAAATGGAGAAGAGCTAAATGTGGTGAGTGTGCAGGATTAGTGTGTGTTCCCCTCAGGACATCCAGTCCTTTTGCTGTCACCTAATAGGGAAATGGTTAAAGCTCAGAGGTGTGTGACCACAGTCTGACTGAAGACATCATCACTCAACTCCCATGACAAAATGAGGGGTCTGTGACTGCTCTGCTCTTCCCTGGAGTTTAATCCCTGCCCCTTCTACTTGTCTGATTTCAGAGCAGGGAGTCATTTGGGATTGGGGACAGTTTTGATCAATGAGACACTGTTTTTTGGGCTGTACTTTTGTAAGGGTTTTCTGTTTTGTACAGAAATTGTATGATTTTGTTTGCTAATGCCTGTGTATTTGGAAGGAGCCAGGAGTCTAGCTGGGAACATGAGTGCTGTGTGCAGTGCACATCTTGGCAGCGAGTGGGAGTGGTGGGGAAGTGAGCTGGTTATTCTGTAAGCTTGCCGGGATGTTTACCCATATTCAGGTACCAGTACCCTTTTTTATGAAAAGTAGAGTCCTTGTTTCCTCTCAGTTCTGTAACTTGCTGCTCTGCAGAGAGTGATTGTGAAAAAAAGTCATTTGTGGCTCCGTTGAACAACAATGTGGCTGTTTTGGAGAAGGCAGCTATTCAATAGCTGGAGCAGGGTAGGGATGTGTACAGTCAGCAAATGTGTTGTTTCTGTCACACAAAAGGCCCAAGACAAACTGAATCAGCTCATGTAACCAGCTGAGCTGAGCTTCTGCTTGGCTTCTTGAATGATTTCGTTCAGAGCTTCCACAGTTCCACAGAACAGAACTGTGGCTGTTTTAAACAAATTTCATCTCCTCTTTGACATGGACTTTTTTGCTTTAACATGGTAACAAATACTTTGTGAATGACCTACCATTTTATTGATGTTTTCCTCGCCCTGCACCAGAGCTTTACAAGGTTTTGCTCACATCTTCAATAAATATGAACTGTTTTTTATCACTGCCTTTCTCATGGCATTGTGCAGGGTACTTGCTTTCATCTTGTGTTAAACATGAAAAATGAATTTGAACATTAGCAGAATCCATTTGGGGACCAGGACTTTTTATTATAAATAAAATTATTCATTTGTTATGTCCAATTTTTTTTTCAGCAGACAAGGTATTGATCTTTGGATTTGTGTTCAGGATGCCGTAAGAAGAACTAGCACAAAAGGAACACAGCAACATTTGTAAATTGATTGAATGCAATATGTAATGACAGAGACAAACATCAGATCTATGGCAATACTATATTATACAAAGCATTTTTCAGCAGTTTATTGAATTGGTTATTAAAAGGAACAGGCTTCCCAGCTGGGAACAACAAGCTGAGGGTTATTGGGACCAAGTAATTTTAGAGAAATTTGTGGTGGCCAGCTTGGCTCCCTTACTAAGGGCACATATATGTGTTCATAATAAATTAGAATAAATACTTTATCACAGCTTTTCAAATGGGATTGATTATGAAAAGGTTCTTCGATTTAAAAAAAAAAAAGGAAACAAAAAAAGGCACTTTAACTGTTACATGCTGAATTCTGCTGGACTACTTAGTATTGGTGTTTTCATAGAATTCCAATTTTTCCCCACCAGAAAGTATTCTGGTTGTGGGGAATGGACCATATATAAAAGCCCAAAGCATGGGATGTTTTCTGACAACTTCATCCCTATATGGAGTTAATGGTCATTATTTGTCGCCGAGACAGTTGTGGTGTTCTGTGAGTTATTGCAGCTTGTTCCTTTTATTAATGAGTAGAGAAAACATTAGTTGAACCAGATGCTCCTTCAAAGACTTCTCCCAGCCCGAGCTGCAGTGTGACTGTTCTGGCTCTGCTGCCGGGGTGGGGAGGGAGCCGGGGTCAGGCAATGCGAGAGCAGCATCTGCTCTGCTGCAGGATTTGTCTGGCTCTGAGCTCCCCTGTCACCTGCTGTCAGAATTGCTGTACTACTCGGGACTGCCACAAATATTGTCTTGGTGCTTTCCCTGGAAGTTTTGCAGTTAAAAAGAAACAATCCTTTTGATTAATGTTGTTTCTTAATATATTTTAAAAGTAGTTTTTAATTTAGCTACAGTCCTGACAGAATTTCCATTGAAGATAGTGCACTGGCTCTGGAAAGAAAAGTAGTATTCTCTCACCAGGTTTTGTTGGAAACCATGATATTTATCATTTATATGAAATTTTAATTCTTCATAAAGTTACAGAGCTGCTGTTTGTTACGATTTAGTTACTTTGTACCTTGCATGTTTATCACATCTATATTTATGCCACATAATTATGAATTTTATTGGGTTTAGCCCAAACAAGTATTAATATTTGCCATAAAACTTAGATTTAGAAAATAAAATTCAGTTATATTGCAGAATATATGAATTTTTATCTACATATTGCAATAATTTATGCTGCACAATTGCAACT